GACACCACATTTGACGATGCTCTACACTTGGCGGCAGAATGATCCGCAATAAACTGTTGTTGCGAGGAGGTAGTCATGATCCTCTTGAGGTAACCGAAGCGAGAAGAAGAAGAAGAAAGGAGCTTAAAAATATTAAGCCGTGATAAGCTCTGTTGCATTTCTCTATAACGTTGTTTGAAAAGAATATAATCGGACGAATGCTAAAGTTAAATGTTATTTATTAAATATTCCATAATGCAGTCATTGGTACAGCTTACGATCGAATTGCAGTAAAACTTATATCCGGGTATTTGAGGGCGGTAGCATGCGAATGTAGGGTACTCTCTGCCGCATTGGAACTTCAACTTGAACACCGAAAGCAAATACTGAACGCCTACACAAAGTTGGACCAACGTTTGTGGAATACAAAACTATATGGAGTATACATATAGTTTAGAGATTTTATTTTCACATTTCATTAAACGCTTTATGATCAAATCTTATACGAAAATGTTTGCCACCAATTTTTATAAAATAGTTTTGATACTTTAAGTTTTTTTTTTAATAATGAATTCATATTTTTTTAATTAATTGTTTCATCGTTTGTATACATAATCACCTAAAACTATAATTTTTAAAAAAAATTTAAACAGATTTTTGTTTTTAAAAAAATCTTAATTTTTTTTGCTCATATATGTGAATGTGCTTAGTGCTAAGTAGTTACCGGTATCCATTGAAGCGACAATGTATATGCTGCCACGCATCTTGAGATATGAGTTCTAAGTCTCAATTTTATAGTACAACAGCTTCCCCCAACCCTTCAAACTGAAACATAATAGTGCTTGCTACACGTAATGAATAGGCAGGACGGTGCTACCTACAAAATTACAAAACATATTTATTTGGTGATAAAGAATTAAGTAATGGGCGTTGTTAAGCCGTGTAGCCCATTTAGTCCAATCATTTTATTTTATTGACTTTACATTCCAACGAGCCGTTAGCAATAATTGTAATATGAAAGACTTAACTTTATTTGAAACGAAAATTCGCATCAAAACGTGTTATAATTTAAAATAATGTTCCTAAACGAATTCTCAATAGCTTTCTCTGTTCCTAGCAAGGGATTATTTGCCGCCTAAAGGGAAAAAGAGTGCGAAAACTTTAATTAAACAAGTTCGGTGAGAATCGAGCTCGGGACTTTTGTAAATGGATAATCGAAGCGTTTGAATCCACCTGAGGACGAATCATGGTGCAGAACGGCCTGCCACTCCGACAATAGTTCATGGCGTGAAAGGATGATACTGACATCTATAATGGATTTTCCAACTCGCGGGAATATTCGATTTCATGAAGTTATTAAGAACTAGCGGAAAGTGCGGATTAGATTCGTATTGGGGTTTTTGCTTTTAGGCCAGGAGATTATCGTAGCGTATTTTCTTGGTTATTCACTTGTATATAGGCAAAATACTAAGCCTATTTATTTAGATTAGAACAGTCACATTCCTTAGAAAGTTGTCGTCTAAGATAGTAAGCTTAGGGAAACTTGTAATACGAATTTGTGGGTTCGAGTAACATTTTCCTTGAAATATACTTTTCTCCTTAAAACTGCTATCTAATAGGGATGTTGTTCTTTTTTTAAATTGAAATATAAACATTTGAGTAACAATAATAAAAAACACACGCAATTACAAAATATTAATAATACATTTAATATATGATTTTAATATATATGGTATGATATAAATAAATAATGTACATTTAACTCCACAAATAATTATGTTTATCAAATATATTATAAACATAAATTGTATTGTATTGTGACTATTCGAATTTTTTCATTGAACTAATCTATATTTTTCACGTTGTTTTTTTCTTTATTGCTTAGATGGGTGGACGAGCTCACAGCCCACCTGGTGTTTAGTGGTTACTGGAACCCATAGACATCTACAACGTAAATGCGCCACCCACCTTGAGATAAGAGTTCTAAGGTATCAGTATAGTTACAACGGCTGCCCCACCCTTCAAACCGAAACGCATTACTGCATCACGTCAGAAATATTCGGGGTGGTGGTACCTACCCGTGCGGACTCACAAGAGGTTCTACCACCAATTTATGAATGTATCAACTTCCAAATTTAAATTAATTTATAATTTAATTCTCATTTGAAATAAAAAGAATTCTCAAACACCTTTTATTGAAGAACTATTCAAACGCAAACATTTCTGTTACTCACCGAATAAAACGTAGGAAATAAATCTTTAAGCTGTCGGCGAGAAGAAAACGCTACAATGTAGCTACATTAAAATGTTTACAAAACGTTGAACGCGGCATAAGAAAAGATTCACTTGTCGCTTCAGCTTTTAACATTAACTGAAACAATCGCGGAGCTCCAGGACGAAACAGTTTTTTTTTTGTACTGAACTGGTAAAACTACATTGTGCTACAATTTAATGCTGATTCAAATAATTTCAATACTTCTGAAAAAAGTAGCGTCGCCAAATAAATTATTGAAGTTATACTTCTTTAGGCGCGTTATGAAAAATTGATGAGAGTGAAATTTTACGATGCGCGCGCACCGTGACACAAAATTAACAGAATGAAGTTGCCCACTAAATCGCTCATTACAATACGACCGACGTAACTTGGCGAGTCTGAATATAGCCGCAGGTGAACTTTCGCGCATGTACACTCGTAAAAAAAAAAGTGTTATTAGCTTTCATTTTTTAGTAATATAAATGACAAAATTATTATTTAATATAATTCATACTCAATATTATTAAATTATTAACGTTAAATATTTATTATTAATTATTTAATATTTAAAAAAAAAAATTATAAAATAAAGTATAACTTCTTACGCGCGTATATAAGTACACGCACCCTTTTTTATTATTGTTGTTATTAATCCTTTATTTCAATTTTTTTTTAAAAAGCTATAACATTTAATCTAGGTTAGTAATTTAAAACCTAACACATAGCTATCAGACTATTCATTACAATTTTTTCCTTCTTTAAATAAATATAAATATATGAATGAAGCTCTCTTGGCCCTTAATTATATTTAAATTTCCCGCGCATTATCTTCGACTATACACATACATACCTACATAATAGTGTTATCTATGTATGCAACACTATGGTCATTCTATAATTAGAAAAACTGCATTCTGGCTTTGTGCATTCAAAACGACAAAGTGCTTTTATAAAGAATAAGTATTTCAGATTTTAATAAAGATACTAAATATTGAAGTAATAGTTTTCAGTGTTGTTTCCCTTTACAGGCTCGTAAATAGCTATATAAATAAGCTCTAAGTAGAAATAAGTTGTGTTTGCAAATCATTCGTTTCATAAAATAAATAACTCTTACAGCTTACAGAGCGACAACTTTTTTTATTATTTCAATAAACAACATGCTACATATCTTTACCTTTTTTGTCATGATTTGTGTTAAACTTTACTGCTGTTTGATAAAAAAGGCAAAAAATTTTCTAATAATTGGTGGTTCTGCGCATTATAAGCCTGCATGGGCGGGTAGTATTACCCTACTTATTTCTTCTGCGTAGCAGTCATGCGTTACGGTTTCAAAGGTTGGGCAGCTTTTCTTCTTCTGCTTGTCCTATCCCACTATGTTCAACCCACTGAGTTTCTCGCCGGATCTTCTCGGTGGCTTGAGATCCCGATCCTGTGGTAGATTCTGCTAAGTACTGCTCTTGTTATGGCTAGTGTTAGCAAATACTCTCAGATTGAGCTCGTGAGCTCACCTACTCGTCCGCGAGAAGCTGGAGTAGCCTCATAGGGTACAAGCAATAGACAGGGGGGAAAAATAACTATGTGGGATGTAGCATATCCTCTTTCTCCACTTAGGCTTATCATTCGTCGTCTTTTTTTTTTGCATGATGGATTCACGAAATCACAGCCCACCTGGTGTTACTTAACACCAATGAGCACGTCCACTCATCTAAGCAATAAAAAAAAATCTATTAGTAAACACGAATCATGCTTGGCGAAACAAGACTACACACTGAAAACTTTATAATGAGTGCATTAAATTAACACTAATAGAAGTGGCACTCATCTCATTAGGCAACAAAATTTACATAATTCAAAACTGGAACTGGGCTGGCTCTACCGCTAAATGAATAACAGCATTTTCAAACAATTACGACCAACGTTTGAAACGAAATGCACAAGCGATGAGTGCTTGAAAACTATTCTGTCATAAATCAGTTAATTGCTTCTTCTTTTTTGGAACGAAGTTCTTTATGGGACGATGCGGAGGGGTACCCTAATCGGGAAAAAACGTCCGTAACGTAAGATTTTTATTAGTAATGCACACATTATACGACTTAACTTTATAATAACATACAAAAAATAACATATTTTTTTATCATTCATTGACCACGTTCTCAGAGCGATCGTTTGCGCAATACACTAACTCTTATGCAAACAACCGTGAATGAAGTGTACCACAATAAGTTCGCACGTTACCGAATGACCGTGAGTTGTTGCGAAACCTACAGTTTTATTTTCTTTATAACTCGAATAGAATTTCAAATTAATATTTTTATAATAAGGAACTTCGTTCCTATCCGGTGTCCCACGACACCACACATCTTTTTTTTTTTTTAAAGAACATTAAAACGCCAGACTGGTTCGTGTATTAATCACGACCGATTTTATCTCGCCGGGGTCCGGGTGGCCACAACAATAGTGTCCGGTAGCGGCTCAAACAATGTAATGTTGCCCTTTCACACACAAACACATACAAACGTCGACTTTCACGTGTGTGCGTTCCCTAAATCGCATGCGCGCAGCATCTGTGCCTTTTCCATCTCTCTGTGTGCTTCGTGCAGAACAACGTAACTCTAGTTTGTGAATACAACTCTTAATGCAATTCGAATAAGGTCGGGAGTTCTATGTAACTTTGGGTTTGCTAGTGAAATTCTAACGCGAGACGGTACAGCAATAAGCTTCCAGGATTCAGATTTTTAGACGTCTACGGATCGCAGTGAAGCCGGGTCGTATTTTGTCCGCGCAGACCTGTGCTTTACTTTCGCGTGACGAATAAAAACTGTTAAGTCACCAAAGGATTTTATTAAAGTGATAGCTTGAAAAAAAAAAAACAATAGTGGGTGTTGTGTCGGTTCAGTTGTGTTCCCGGAATTTTTATTTATGAAGTGATATTTCAGTAAGTCATTTAATTTTACTATTTCGTTTTTTTGCTGTAATAAATCAGTGTAATCCTAGTTTTGGACACGAATGTTTTATGAGCATTTGAACATTCGAACGACATTTATCGCTTTAGTGAATTTGAATTTCCAAATATGTATGTATATGTCTTTTAAAGAAGTATCATCACTACATAGTATAAAACAAAGTCGCTTTCTCTGTCCCTATATCCCTATGTATGCTTAAATATTTAAAACTTCGCAACGGATTTTGATGCGGTTTTTTTTAATAGATAGAGTGATTGAAGAGGAAGGTTTATATGTATAATAACATCCATTAAATAGTGGAGAATTTAATAATAAATTACAGTTTCCGAAGCGAAGCGAGGGCGGGTCGCTAGTTTATTTATATTATCTTATCATTTAATTGTATTACTCACAATAATTTATTTATAACTCGAGCAGTTGATTCATTTGCAGTTTCGAGTTTCGTATCAATGTGGAAATTTATGAAATTTTAGATTAATTTAAATTTAATAAAGACTATATAATTTTCAGCATTTAAATGTTTTTTTTGGAATCACTGTACTTCAAGATACTGATTTCATATTATAAATTACGTTGTGCTTACTCTACTGGATTCTTAAACTGCCAATAATTTTGCTTAACTATGCTCTTGGCAATTCTAAAGTTCATGAGTATCGGTGATTGCTCCCTTAAAAATTTCAAAGGCATTAAATAACGACATTATGAGAGCTTGTCGTCAAATAATAGAATGACTCGATGGTACAGTATTTAGCGCCCTTAACTGTTCCGCCGAGGTCGTGGGTTTGATTCTCAGATCGGGCCAACATTCGTATGATTAACAGGTTTATTTACTCTTTGTCTAGATGCTTATTATCTATATACGTATATAAGTATGTATGCTGATCTCTGGTACCCGTAACACAGGGAATCTTAATTTGGGGCCAGATAACCGTGCGTGATTAGTTTCCAATTAGTTAGTTAATAGCAAGTTCTGAAAAACTTATATGATTTTGATCAATGCGACGCCTAAAAAATTCTAACCGCCTAATTGTATTTTAATTAAAATTAATTTTATTAGTTGTGAAACAATAATTAAAAAAAAAAAATGTAACTGTTTCACGTCTATGGAAATAAATAGGAATTTGATATTCAATTTGACGTGTGTTACAGTTCAACGGAGTAGAGCGGATGCTATAAAAACAGTTGTAAATAACATTATTCGTTATGCGCCGACATCAAACGATGTTTTTCCTATTAGCGTGATTATTTTCAAAACGTTTATTACACGTGTTGTTACGTGCTGTAAACTACAACTGATTAATGAAGGCAAACATTGGCTTAATGGTTTTTACAAGACGCGTGCCGCGATTCCGTCCGTATTAAATTTGACTTTGTCTCCATGTATAAGTAGTTCTCACTAACCAATTGATAGACGATCCACCATTGGACAAAAGTTGGCCCATGGTTCGCCAAGCTAACTGTATTTGCGTCCAATGCATTGGCCCAAGCATTGGTCAACTTTGTGGGAGACCTACAAACATTGTTTTCCTGTGAACTGTCTAACTAGGCGGTTTCAAGATTAGGACAGCTGACAATTGAGACTTTAAACGGATCTTTCAAGGTTCATGACGGTCACGTGTTGGGGCTCAACCATTTAAAACCAGATCGAGACGTGAGCTCGTCTGAGCAAGCCACATCCTATTAAATTACTGCCGCTCTCCTTGAAACGTGAGGTAAAAAACTCACTCATATTAGAACAGTGGCTTTCCCGTAAAAATAAGAAACAGGGTAAACGTCTTGCCTCCATTACTTTATACTTATTGAAAAGTAAAAGGCTATTTGGTTTGAGTGACATTTTTGCAACTTTACACGAGAGCCAATGAAAGTTGAAAATTTGGAAAAAATAATCATAACGAGAAAACTTCTTCAGCTATTTCAATGGAGTAAACTTAATTGGAGTTCAATTAAAAACATCGAACTGTTCGTGATAATAGCAAATAAAATGCGTCTTAAATTAGAAAGATAATTGTGGCGTATTAGGCGAAATATCGCTTAATCCAAATTGACTTTCAGCTCTCGATATGTTCACAAATCGTCTTTTCGCATTAAAAGTGTACAATTTCCAAAAACATTCGAAATTGAGTTAATATGCGGTATCATTTGGTATCTATCACCAGTATTTTTCTCATAAATACTGTCAAAAGGGCATAGTTTAGTTTTAGTTTTTTTTAGTTTACCTATGTTTTGACTACTATTAACAAAATTAATACATAATTTTATCTTACTTTAAAAGACATTAAAAGACAGATACATAATGTAACTGGTAAAAAAAAAAAAAACAAATGTTGCAAAGATGATTAATATTAAAAATATCACATGTTAAACCTTTAAAACACTCTCCTGTTTTTTTTTATTTTTTTTATTGCTTAATGGGTGGACGAGCTCACAGCCCACCTGGTGTTAAGTGGTTACTGGAGCCCATAGACATCTACAACATAAATGCGCCACCCATCGTGAGATATAAGTTCTAAGGTCTCAGTATAGTTACAACGGCTGCCCCACCCTTCAAACCGAAACGCATTAGTGCTTCACGGCAGAAGTAGGCAAGGTGGTGGTACCTACCCGTGCGGACTCACAAAGGTCCTACCACCAGTGATTACGCAAATTATAGTTTTGCGGGTTTGATTTTTATTACACGATGTTATTCATTCACCGTGGAAGTCAATCGTGAACATTTGTTTTATTCGTTATTTCATTCATTATCCTTATTTCATTAGAATTTATCTTACTTTAAAAGACAGATACATAATGTAACTGTTAAAAAATAAATAAAAACAATGTTGCAAAGATGATTAATATTAAAAATATCACATGTCAAACCTATAAAACACTCTCCTGTAAAATTAGTAAGTTTTGATATTATACAGTTTTAATGCGAGAAGACGATATTACATAGTCCTAGAATTGTAATTAAAACACACCATTTAAGACAACGACGGTTGTTTTAATACGATGGGTGTTTAGAAACAATATTTGTTTGTCCCTCAAAGCATTCTAGTGAATACACACGCAGAAGGAAGAATCCAATATCTCGGTCGCAGCTTTTTCCTTAGTTCGAGAATGGTTCAGTTCTATATGTACTTATTCGTTTGATATTGCGGTTTTCAGCAGCCTGGCTAGGTCCCGATATTGGGTCTGTGTCTCTGATGAGAAATACAGAGGTTCGACTTTCAAACTTTATATTATTTAATGATTTATCAATTACTATTTATATAGATTAGCCTTTATTGCTGTTAGAGCTTAACTTATTTAACTAAACATTTTATGTTTTATGTTTAGTTTAGTTAAAACATTTTATGTTTAGTTAAATAAGTTAAGCTCTAACAGCAATAAAGGCTAATTTAATTTATATAGAAAAGAATTGAAGAAACATTGTATTTTCTTCACTTATGAACACATGTTTTAAGCCGCTGTCACGATATATGTTCTATGGGGAGTGCTCTGAGGAAGTGTTTGAGATGATACCTCCATCTCGTTTTTACCATCGCACCGCCTGCCACGGCGTTCATCCACAGTGTGCTTCCAGAGATCATTTTCGCCACGTACCATCAGGCTTTGGAATGAGCTCCCCTCCACGGTGTTTCCCTGAGCGCTATGCCATATCATTCTTCAAACGAGGCTTATGGAGAGTACTTAACGGTAGGCAGCGGCTTGGCTCTGCTCCTGGCATTGCTGAAGTCCATGGGCGACGGTAACCACTTACCATTAGGTGGGCCGTAAGCTCGTCTGTCTATAAAGGCAATAAAAAAAAAATTCGCCTTGTTTTTATATTGCATAATTGGTTGAATTAGCTTTCAGCCCAATTGCTCCTAAGTGGTATTGAGTGCAATGCAATTTTAAGTCCTTCAGTAAAATGTATACTTTTATTTTTATTTTTATTGCTTACAACATTTTTATTGCTTAGAAGATTTTATTGCTTGCGTGAACGAGCTCACAGCCCACCTGGGATTAAGTGCTTATGGAGCCCATAGACATCTACAACGTACATGTGCCATGTACCTTGAGATATTAATTCTTAGCTTAGTATAGTTACAACGGCTTCCCCGCCCTTCAAACCGAAATGCATTACTGCTTCACGGCAGAAATAGGCGGGGTGGTGGTACCTACCCGCGCGGACTCACAAGAAGTCCTACCACCAGTAATTATGCAAATTATAATTTTGCAGTTATATAAATTAGTTCAATTGTAAACTTGCATACACATGGCATTTACATATAAATATTTGTTACTATACCTTTTTTGCCACGTACCATCCGGCTTTGGAATGGGCTCCCCTCCACGGTGTTTCCCGAGCGCTATGACATATCCTTCTTCAAACGAGGCTTGTGGAGAGTATTTAACGGTAGGCAGCGGCTCGGCTCTGCCCCTGGCATTTCTGAAGTCCATGGGCGACGGTAACCACTAACCATCAGGTGGGCCGTATGCTTGTCTGCGTACGCGGGCAATAAATAAAAATTAAGATTCAGAAATTACTCAATAGTCACAAAACTTTAAATTCTAGCGAAAATTCTGTCGCGAAAACACTACAAGAATGTTTGCTCCACACAAGAGTATCAAGTTGATACCAACACAGGGTACGCTGAGACCAGTTAACCCCTGTCAAAAGTTTTTCAATTACGTTGCCACGATAACGTGTAGCTAAATACTCCAAACATATTTATTATAAGAAACTTCGTAAAGGCGCCTTGAGTACAAAACTTGGCTGCTTGTCGAGCACTCGTAATGGGAGGGGCCAGGATTGATGCTGTAACCTTATAAGGCCGGAATTAAGAGGCAATTCCAGCAATGAAGCAGATACTAATTAAGCAGCGTAATAAGAACGACGGTAATTAGTTATAATTATTCAAGATGTCAGTTACACGTTATACTATTCCCACGTTTATGAACGCGCAAGCACGTATTTTGTTTTTCAACAGATTTCAAACGAAAAAAA